TTGGGGTTGCCTGCTGTGCAGCGTTTCTCTTTTCTCCTCCCTGCAGACCCCAGCTGCTCAAGCGATATTGAACCATGGCGACTGTGTGCCGCGTTGTGTGTGTGTTGACCGCAGCGCTGTGCTGTGTTTCATTCTGCGTGACGGCTGATGCTGCTGCCGATAAGGCTGCGGTGGAGGCAAGGGGGGCTGTGTTGTCCACTGCCGCGACGAACACGCAACAAGTGTTGAAGGAAGCCGGGCAGGCTTCTGCTCAATATGACGCCGCTGCTGCTGAATCTATGGCTGTAGAGGGGAGTGCCGAAAAGGCAAATCTACACGTCCAAAATGTGGTGACTCTGACAGCGAGTGCATTGAGTGAAGCTGGCAAAGCGTTCGAAGAGATTTCAAAGTTTCCTGATGTGACATCTGGTAGCGTTAAGAAAACGTCGTTGAGTGCATGTAATCTCCCGACTGCTTCCAAGAGCGCGCAAACTGTGGCGGATAAAGCCAACAGGGCTGCGGATAATGCTTCGACTGCTGAGGTGCTACTCAGGGGGGCCGAGGAAAATGCGAAGAAAGCACTGGAAAAGACAAAGAAAGCACAGAAACTGTCTGAGGCAGCAGTGCAGAGCGCCGAGGATGCGGCGGAGAGTGTAAAGGGGGCGAATGGAATGCCTGATGGCATCGTGCAGAAACTCTCCGAGGTCGCTGAGAAGGCTAGGGAGGCAAAAATGAACGCTGCGAATATTGCTTCGACTGCTTCCGCGGCGGTGAATAAGATTGAGCAGGCACTGACGAACATCTTGGCTGCGAAGACAAACACGGATTTGGCGGCTACGAGTGCTACGCACGCAAAAGATAATGTTATGGAGGCAGACACGAAATTAAAGCCCGTTGAGGCCGAGAGTGAAGTGACAGCTGTAAGTAAAGATGTAAAGGATTTTGTTGGAAAGGCAAAAACAAGTGCCGCAGAAGCAAAGACGAAAGCCAAGGAGGCGGAGACGAGTGCTCAAAGTGCCGCGAAGAGTATTGGTGCTGCATTAAAGGATACTAAACAGGCTGCTGAGCTTGCAGAAAAAGCATTGGGCTCCACTAAAGAAGCAATGGATTTGGCGAAAGACGCCAAAAGAGCTATTGATGCATCGCTCCAAAAAGCAAGGGAAGAGTTGAAGGTATTGACTGAAAAAGCGAAAGAGACTCCAACGGGGGCCTCGGGTTCGCATCACGCATCTGGGCCACACTCTGTGAATGAAAAGAAGATGCCTTCATCTGTTGTGCCGCCCACCAGGGCCACTGCGGCTCCTCCCCACACACAGAGCGGTGCGGATAAAAAGCCTGAGGCTGCTGTTGCTGTTGCTGAGCCACACCCAATGGGAGAGAGCGCTGCAAAGTCACCCGACGCGAATGCGTCGCCCGCAGTCGATAAGTCTGACACTGTAGGCGAAGCAGAGGTTGCGGCTGAAGCAAGCAATGCAGCCACGGACACTCATAACAATCGTGTCGAAGAGCGTTCACCAGCAGAAGAGGAGACAACTACTGCGTTGCTAACTGTTAACAAAAGCGATGGGCCCGCAGGCAAATATGACATTGGAATGACGGACGACAGCAGCACCAATCCTGCGTGGGTGCGTGCGCCGCTGGCGTTCCTTCTTCTTGTGATGGGGGCGCTGGCCTGTCCGGTTGCGTGCTGATCAGTGTGTGCACGGGAAGGTGGGACCGCAGTAATTGCGTGTGGCCCTTGGGGATGAATGGGCACACGCGTAACATGTTTGCTTCCCACTTCATTTGCTGCCCCGTGAAGGGCGTAAACTCTTTAAGCATTCCCTGAATATACTCACTGGGGTGTGTATCGATAGGAGGGAGGGATGGGGTCTTTGTTTTCTGCTTTTAACTTGTGTTTGGGGTTTGCTTCACGCATGGCTGTGCGTCGCCCACTTAAGCGGGTCTTTCACAACGGTCCTTTCTGTGTGTGTGTGTGTGTATGTGTGTGTGTTAGGCTGTTGCTGTTGGGGTGTGCGGGCCTGCGTGGCCGTGTGGTGCTGCTCTCCCCGCTGTGTGTGTGCCGCACCGGCTCCTTTTTTCTCCCCCTCGCGGAGACAAGCGACTCAAGCGACTTGTGACCATGACGATGAGTGCGCGCCACGTGCCGTTCTTGCTGGCCGCTCTGCTGTGCGGCGTGTGCGTG